AAACACCAGATACGAAATATACATAACCAAATTCGACACGACTGGAAGTTACTGCGTAATAAAATGGAACATGAGATTATGGAACGAAATGCTCAGTATGGTCAATTTTTTATTCAACTTGTGTTCTGTAAGAAAAACTTATATTTTAATTACGCTTTTGGAAAGAAAAATTATTGTTTTAAGTTTTAAAGAAAAACACGAAATATAGAGAGAAGCAATTTGGTGTGCGCGAAAATATTGAAGTACATTATAGTACAATAATAACTTACGTGCATATTCATGAAAGATTGTCTATTTTTATATTTTTTAGCAGTTATCGGTTTTGTATGTATCTCAGTAGTTGTCATACAGTTTCTGCCGGAGATTCTCGACGTTGTGTGGCCATTGAACGAGCCACGGCCACGATATCTCTTTGTCATGGCTGAATATTTTGTTCCGTTTAATAAATATTTTTATATTAAAGTATTACATGAACTTTTGATCATTCAATTAGGTTGGATAATAGGAGGCGCTACACATTCACAAATACTAGGATTTATCTTTCATTCCTTTGGGATGTTCAAACTTACTAGGTGATTGACGATCGAATCATATTTTTTAGTTAGTAAGCGACGCGTTTTTAATTATGTCGATCTGAAGCTAAAGATAATATGTTAATTGCAGACATAGAATACAATCTATTGAGAAATGTATATGGCACGTACCTTTTTCAGAGAAATATCGTGTCATTTGTAACGAAATAACACACGTCACAATTGCACACAAGAGAGCTGTTAAGTTAGTACAAAAACTAAAAAAGAAATAATAGTTTTTCATTTTTATCATTACTGTATCTAATTTTAAAGGTTCACTGTTGATTTAATAGCGTCGCTTAATACACTTTATTGCGTGACAACTGCTATTAGTGTACTGGCAATGATTACCGATTTATATGGAGTAAGTAACAGATCTTTTTAGTGTCAGAAATACGTGTAAATAAATTATAATACGTACAAATAAATCATATAAATGTGTACAATATATTAGATCTCTAAAGTTGTTAAATATAAAAATGCCCATGGTTATTAATATTTTTAATATATTTTTTATTTTATATTTTATTTTATATTTAGATTTTTGAAGCATTAGCGATATCACGAGATATAAAAGTGTTAATGCAGTGCATTGTGGCTGGAATTGGTCTTTTAAGTATTCTGTTTGTCGCTGTTTATATCGGTGAAAAAATCACAGCTTACAATAGAGACGTAGCAATGAGTATGTAAGTAATTTTATTA